CCACACCTTCACACTTGACTCGGGGGCTTCTCGCTCCTTCTTTCGAGACCGCACCACACTCACGCCGCTTGGTCGGCCAGTTGCAGTCTCCGTGGCAGACCCCTCTAGGGGTCCTGTCCTTGCTCACTTCTCCACTATCCTCCCTTGTCCGGCGGCCCCCTCGGGCACCTTGTCTGGTCTTTACCTCCCCTCGTTCTCTACGAACTTGGTGAGTGGTGCTGACCTACAGGATGCGGGGATTCAACAGTTCACTCCTGCGAGTCAGCGGGTGACCCACTTCACGGACGCTCCGACAGGCCGACACCTGGCCACGTTTACACGTCGGCCGGGGTCGAGCGTGTACACACTGACCACTGCGTCTCCTCCAGTCACTGCGTCTGGTCAGGTAGCTGCATCGGGTCAGGTGTTAGCTGCAGCGTCCAGGTCTGGTCCTGGGTCTTTGCGTCCGTCCGCTGCTCCTCTGCGTGCCCCGTTGCCTTCTCCTCCTGAGTCCTCTCTTCCTGCTCTTGCCGACCCTGAGTCGGACTCTCTTCGTGCTGCCAGTCCTACTGTCACGCGTCTCCTTGCTACTGTTGTCACTAACCCTTCCTTTGAGTCCACTGCCGCGTCTGCCCTAGTTGCTGAGCTCATTGACCTTGCTGCTCGCTGTCGCCTAGACTACGCCGCCAGTCTTGTTGCTGAGTCTGAGTCTGTCTGTCCTCCGTCCGTCGGGGGTGAGTGTGCTCTTGGCACGGACGTCCTTGAGGAGAGGCAGAAGGAGTTCCAGTGCTTGGCCGTTGCTTCACCTCATCTCGTGTCCGTACTCCTTACCCCTGAGGGAGACCTAGATGCACTTGACATCCCGACTCCGCGCTCTTACGCGGAGGCGATAGAGGGTCCCTACTCCTCTCAGTGGCAGGCAGCTATGGACGCAGAGATGGCTTCCTAGAAGTCCACAGGCACCTACGTTGACGCTGTTCCCCCTCCTGGGGCGAACATCGTCAGTGGCATGTGGATTTTTAGGGTGAAGCGACCGCCGAGTTCTCCGTCTGTCTTCAAGGCGCGTTACGTGGCTCGTGGCTTCAGTCAGCGGCAGGGAGTTGACTACTTTCAGACCTTCTCTCCCACCCCGAAGATGACCACTCTTCGGGTACTGCTGCACATAGCTGCTCACCGTGACTACGAGCTACACTCTCTTGACTTCAGTACTGCTTTCTTGCAGGGCAGCCTGCACGAGGAGATCTAGCTGCGTCGCCCACCGGGTTTCACTGAGTCTTTTCCTCCTGGCACCCAGTGGAGCCTCCGGCGGCCAGTCTACGGTCTCCGCCAGGCACCGCGTGAGTGGCACGACACACTGAGGACTACACTTGCGGCTCTTGGGTTTGCTCCCTCTACTGCCGACCCGTCGCTGTTTCTGCGCACCGACACTTCTTTGGCACCGTTCTACATCCTCGTGATCGTCGACGACTTGGTCTTTGCCACAGCTGACACTGCTGGACTCGCCCACGTGAAGTCCGAGCTGCAGAAGAGACACACGTGCACTGACCTGGGTGAACTGCGCAGCTACCTTGGCTTGCAGATCACCCGGGACAGAGCACGCCGCACCATTACCCTGACTCAGTCACACATGGTGCAGCAGGTCCTTCACCGCTTCGGCTTCACGTACTCCTCGCCTCAGGCCACTCCTCTATCTACTCGCCACTCGCTCTCAGCTCTGCCTTCGGATGAGTCCGTAGAGTCGAGTGGCCCGTACCCAGAGCTTGTTGGCTGTCGCATGTACCTGATGACCTGCACACGACCTGACCTTGCATACCCTCTTAGCATTCTTGCACGCTATGTTGCTACTGGGAGACACCGACCAGAGCACATGGCTGCAGCGAAGAGGGTGTTGCGCTACTTGTGCAGTACGTCGGGCATGGGGCTAGTGCTTGGAGGGCGGAGTCCAGTGGTCCTCACTGGACACGCAGACGCTTCTTGGGCTGACGACCAGGCTACGCAGCGGTCGTCACAGGGTTACACCTTCAGCCTTGGTTGCGGCTCTTTTTCGTGGCGGGCTACTCGCTCGTCTTCTGTTCTCGGCTCCAGTTGTGAGGCTGAGATCTACGCAGGAGTCATGGCTGCACAGGAGCTACGCTGGCTCACCTACCTGCTGACTGACCTCGGAGAGCTGCCTCGTTCTCCTCCGGTGCTGTACGTAGACAACAAGGCCATGCTAGCCTTGTGTCGGGAGCAGCGACTGGAGCACAAAACGAAGCACATTGCTCTCCGCTACTTTCTTTCTCGTGAGCTGCAGCAGCCTGGTCAGCTGCGTCTTGCGTACGTGGCCTTTGAGGCCAACACTGCTTATATCTTCACCAAGGCGCTTGCGCCTTGTGACCATCAGCGCTTCTGTACTCAGCTGGGCCTTGTGCCTGTCTTGCCTCACTTGCTCACCTGTTGACCTTGCTTGTAGTGTTACATATATGTATACCTGCTCTTGCTTGTCTAGCCTTTTTATATATATGTACTCTTGCATGTGAACTGGCCTTGTGGCCTTGAATTTGTGCTCCGAATGTGTGGTGACTTTTTGATCCACCCTGAGCTTGCTTTGCTTTGCTTTGCTTGACTGGTCTTGTGACCCCTTGTTCTCCCCCACTTTGCCTATGGGGATGTGTCAGAACATTATAGCTCATGCATATTGTGTAGGCTATAGTGGGGTAGCTCATAAGGGGTACAACCCAATTAGGGTTAGTACTTGTACACAATTCATTCATAGTTCATTCATTCTCGTTTCAATTCTTACAAACTCACCATGAACAATAAGTCCCTTGGTCCTTCGCCGGCATATCTGGCGTTCCCATCTCCGCCATGAACTGCACGAGTGTCGTGAACATGACAATGGGGGTGTCAGATTTGCAAAGGAAGTGCACAGTCAGAAACAGCTTTACCAACCGCCGCGTTTCCGCACTCCTATCTCCGAAGTTGGAGAGAGATGTTTGCTTCTTCTGCGGGCCTTCACGCTGCTCCAACCGGTCCTTCGCCTCCCGGTGCCGGATGCTCCACTATTGCTTCCTCATCGTCTGCTTCTGTATGTCGATGCCTCCCTCGCCCCGAGCGCCGTACTGTGACTCTGGATCTGCGTACACCATGCAGATCTTGCACCTCATGCAAGGTCGACCTTCGGATGTGTCACCGATGATGAGCCAAGGGAAGTGGCGATTCCACTGCTGCTTGGCTTTTAGCTGCATCTCCTCTAGCGTCAGAATCCGGGGTCTCCCATTCTCAGGCTCCGTGGCTCTCCCTTCCATCTTCCTTCGCAGTGGGATTCCCTGCAGAGGAAGGGCTGGGACGCTTCGAAAAAGGTAGCTTGTGTTGCACAAATTTGGTCTTGCCAGTAAACCGCGTCGGGAGAAACGGGGAGCGGGATTGAAAAGGATTTTGTTCACCAGCAACATCTGATGCGACAGGTTGACCGGATGGCGAACCCCCAGGGTGGCTTGTTGAGCTCGGTGACCGCACGGGTGAAAATGGTATGAGCGGCTTGGCATCCATCTCAGCGAAAGGGTAAGGCTGCTCGGGAGAATCAAGTTTGTCATTCTGACAGGCCGAAGGAGCAATAGGAGCAGCTCAGACTGGAGTAGGGGTGAACCCCCCCCCCCCCCCCCCCGTAAGGAAATCCAAGCCAGTGCGTGGGCGTGGCAACGCACTGGAAGGAGGTGAAGCATGTAGAGTGGATGCTGGAGGGGCCTCTGTGCGAGAGTCTACGGCCATCTCGGTGGAACTAGGCACTGACTGGCTCTGGCACACGAGGGTAAGATGAAGGACACCTGTGCTGTGGGGAGTGAGGGGGGACCGTCCGAACCGAGCCGCATGCATGGACGTCCCCTTCCCTGCTGGAAGCAGCCATGCCATCCATCTCTCGCTGACTCAACGCGCACTGAGGGTTGTCGGTGTTGCAAATGCAGCCTTCTGCCGTGCGCTGGCACGAATATGCCAAACGACCTGGCAAGATTCGTGCCAGCGGGGTGACTGCGGCGCAGTGACGTGCGGTGTTGTCACCGACCAAAGGCAAAGTACAGCCTGGCGGTGGCATCACGGTGACGCGGCGGGTGGCAAGTCTCGTCCGTAACATAGGGCAACAAGCCATGTGGCCAACTAGCCAGGTGGGCAACTGGCCAGGTGGGGGAAATTGTCTGTTTCAGACGAAAAGAAACTCGATGTCTGCAGTCTCAGACGAATTGTATAAGGCTGTCCGAAAAATCAGACGACTAAAAAAAGTCGCTCTTAAAAGTCAGACGACAGTAAACAGCATGTCTACGGCATCAGATGAACCATTAAAAATGTGTCAAAAAACAAGAAATTCAGACCAAAAATTTCTGATAAAGTAAGCCCTGCCGTTGTCACTCTCGGTGTAAGCGCGTGCCTCCCATGCACACATGCCCATATCCCTCACCTCATGCCACCCCTCTCCTCTCCTCACACCCCGATGCACTGGCCAGATGCACTGTCTGAGTCCAGAATTCAATGCTCAAACTTTTTTTGTACAGACAAATCTTCACAGGGAACTGTCTCACATTCAAGCTAGCCAGACTCCGATGCACCGTATCTAGACGCACAGCCCCCATCACATGCGCCACATACGCTTCCCTTGCATCTCCCTCATCTCGTGCCTGCCTCGATCCTCCAGCAGCACAATACACCACCCCAATGCACCGAATCTAGACACACAGGCCAACTGCATGCGCCACATACGCCTCTCCTGGCAACTCCACCGCCGGCCCACCACGCCAGCCTGCTTCCCATGCCCGCCCATCTCCCTCATCTCATGCCTGCCCCGATCCACCAGGAGCACAATACACCATCCCAATGAACCGAATCTAGACGCATCGCCCCACCGCATGCACCACATATGCCTCCCCTGGGAGCTCAATCCCCGGCCCCACCACACCTGCGAGCTTCCCATGCACGCCCATCTCCCTCATCTCATGCCTGCCTCGGTCCACCAGCAGCACAATACACCACCCCAACCCAATGCACCATACTTAGAGACACAGCCCCACCGCATGCGCCACATATGCCTCCCCTGGGAGCTCTATTCCCGGCCCCACCACACCTGCGTGCTTCCCATGCACGCCCATCTCCCTCATCTCATGCTTGCCTCGGTCCACCAGCAGCACGAGTGCAAACAGCCTTCCCCCCGCTACCACCACCTGCTTCAACTGCGCCCCCCACAGAATCTCACCTGCCCCTCCCCCCCCTGCTGCTCCCCCTGCCATCTCCCACACGCACGCTCCCTCTCGCCACACATCCCTTCTCCCGTGGCCTTCCTGGTTTTCTAGCTGCCGCTGATGCCGCTTGGAGCAAGCAGTGCAGGGGGGTTTGCAGGGAGGGGCGTTTGGCTCGCCTTGCAGCAGCAGAAGAGACAAGCTATGCTGTACCGCTGCCACTGTAGCGCCGCCCGCCCAGCCACATGCCCGGTGACGTGCACACGGTGACGGCCGCAGGGGGGCATGGTAGTGCGTGTGTATGGAATCTGATGGTGGTATCAGCGCATGGGGGGAGCATGAGTGTGCACAAGGCAATGATGGTATCAGAGCGAGCAAGCCAGCAGCAGCCAGGCGGTGAATAGGGTCGCATGGGGGGGCGAGACTCCACACCCCACTCCTCACATCGAGCTGTAGCACACACCCTGCACCACTGGCACTGGCTGTAGCGTCAGCTGTAGCACCGGCTGTAGCAGGGGCGGCTGAGGGGGACGTGGGGTGATCGGAGAAGCAGGTGAGGCGGTGGCGGTAACGCGCGTACACGCGGTTACCAGCACGGATGACGTCGCAGGAGCGGGGGGAGATGGAGGGGTGAAGTGCGGTTGTTACATTCACACTGGTTGTTGGCATGGATGGGCTTGAAGGCGAGAGTGAGAGTGAAGGGGGAAAGCGTGTGGGGGAGGAGGAGGAGGATGATGGGGATTGAAGAGATGTGGCGGAGGAAGACAGCAAGGAGTGGGGAGACGCAGAGGAGAAGGAGGAGGAATACGGGGCTGTGGAGAGGGGAGAGAGTATGTTATCAGAGGAGCTGGCAATGGCATGGGCAGGAGAATCACCAGGGTGTGTGGGAAGGCCCGAAGGGTGTGTGAGAAGGCCCAGATTCAGAGAGGGGTTGATGGGCGTGGGTAGCTTAGGTTGTGTGGGTTGTGTGGGTGGCGTGGGTAGCTTGGGTACCAGTGCGGACAGCTCGATAATGGATGTTGTTTCGCTCACTGGAATATCCCTCATTTCGTTCCCCTCCCGCTCTTCGCCTGTGTTCCCCCCCTCATACCTCATCCTCTCCCCCTCCACTCCTCCCTCTCCTTGCACTCCGCCCATCCCTGCGCCCCAAACGTTCCCCCTTCCGCCCACCTTCCACCTTCCCCCAATCTCCCCGCCTCCCCCCACGAACAGCCTCCCCCCCGCCCACACCACCACCGGATCCAACCGCGCTGAAAACCCCTCATGCTGCACCTGCACCCACCGCCCCGCCAGCCAATCAAACAGCGACACGTGGCGGACCGCCTCTCCCGTCCCCAGTACCACTCCCCCTGCAATCGCGAGCCCCCACCCGGGAATGGCTGCGACTGAGAAATGGCGGCAGCGCTGCGACCCGTGCGGATTGGACGGCGGGATGGGCGGCAGCCGGCGCCACCTTCCGTAACCGTTAGATCCAGAGAGCCCGCCGCATCCTGACCGTCCACATGCTGACAGTCGGAATCTGCTGCCTCCGCTGCTACAGGAGCTTCCTGCGCCCTCCGCGTTCCGACGCGATTCGTTACAGGCGCTTCCGCTGAACGTCCATCGCGTTCCCTTGCTGCCGCCGCAATCCGCGGCGGAGGCGGCGGAGAACGCGGAGGCGGCCGATGCGAGGGGAAGGGCGTCCGCGCGCGCAGGCGCGGAGAGGTCGTAGGCGAACCAGTCGAGGCGGCCCGGATGCCGCCTGCTCGCCGCGCACAGACACACGTAGCCGTTACCCCCGTTTATATCACACTCGCCTCTCCCCTCAGTACAATCGCGGGCGTCCCTGTGTGAGCAGCACGCAGGGGACGACGCGCATTCCGCGGATTCCTCGCAATCCGGGTTTTCCGCGCATTCCGGGTTTTCCGCGCATTCCGCGCATTCGGCGCATTGCGCGCATGGCGTGCAGTCCCCCCCGTGGCGCGTCACCACCCTCCGCAACCTCTGCGCGCCGAGCGCCTGCTGCCGCCGCCGCTGCTGCGCGAACGCGTCGCTCGCAATCGCCGCCGCCCAGCCGCGGGACACGCAGCGCGCGACCGCGAGGTCCCAGAGACTAAGGCGAGACAGGCACGCGACGCTGACGTCATCGGGCAGCGGAGGAATCAGCGGAAGAATTGGCGGAGAGATCGGCGGAGGAATCAGTGCGGGAGCGGGCGAATGCGAGGCGCAAGCGGCAGCCATGGGCCCCGCGCCCAGCAGCACCCCAGACTAGAGCAGAACAGGTAAAACGCCGGGCGACGACCTGAACGCGCTGAGATATATTCAGCCGTAAAACTCTGTCAGACTTCGAATGTCTGCCCGAGTCTGATGCTGACCGACGAATCGGTGACTCACCAGGATCGCATACGATATGCACTGATAGGTGTTCGATACGTTCAAGAGCGGCTGAAGCAGCACCCCGATGGAACGGTTCGCTAAGGGCAGTCTCCATGTGTGCGTACCCGAAATCGGGTGATGCAGTGGATCGGGTAAAATGTTTCATTATGTACAGTATTTTGATTATCTTCTGCACCGCACTCTCATCACAAAGCCACTTCATTATGGTACTGATGTTGGTTGGCTAAACACCGTACCATAAATTCTTTACTTTTGATTTTCCTTCACTCCCACGCCAAGCATGTCCGGTTCCTCCCATCCCCTCCTTTCCCGTCCTCCACTGCAAAGGCCAGCTTCACAAAATCCCTCAACACGGTGTCGTTGCGCTCACAGAACCGACCCGCCCAATCAGGAGGCTGCACTGCATCTGTCCCCAGCCCAGGTATCAAATCGTTGCTGTTTTGCTTCGCCCCCTTCCAGTCCTTAGTGTATGTCGCCACTCGCCGCCGATACTTGGCCTTGAACTCATCCCACACCTGCCAGGCACATACAAACAAAAGGGGAGGGAAAACGGGAGGTGATTAGGCTAGCGAGGTGAATTTTGAATTTGACTCCCATACCTGCCTGGTACACAAGAAGAAACAAGGAAAGCGAAGAGGGCTATTTTTTTTTTTAGCAATGCATGCTAGAGCAGACGATTGAAACTATCAAATGGCGAACTACTACACACAATCATGCACCTCCACATGTTCCTCTCGAGTTTTCCCACAGAACAAACCCGGGCCACAACCGAGCGAACAACCCACCTGGAACCTGTAGTGGTTGATGTTGGCTAGTCGCACCCTCCCAGAGAACACCTGGCTGCGGTACCGCTCATCTCTCAGCACAAACTGACATACGTGACACAGGAGCACGCCCTTTACGCCTGCACATCCACCCACCTGAAACTTGTAGTGGTTGATGTTGGCTAGTCGCACCCTCCCGGAGAACACCTGGCTGCGGAATCTCTCTTCCCTCAACTCAAACTGGTGGATGTGGCACAGCAGCGAGTCCGCCACCAGTGCTACAAGATACACCCACACTAGCCGTGTAACAGCAACCCACCTGGAACTTGTAGTGGTTGATATTCGCCAGCCGCACCCTCCCAGAGAAAACCTGGCTGCGGTACCGCTCCTCCTTCAACTCAAACTGGTGAATGTGGCACAGCAGCAAGCCCTAAATGGCTCATTTCGAGTTTCCCACCCACAACCCACCTGGAACTTGTAGTGGTTGATGTTGGCCAGTCGCACCCTCCCCGAAAACACTTGACTTCGATATTTCTCCTCATGCAGCTCAAACTGGTGGATGAGGCACAGCAGCGAGTCCGCCACGGCCTCGGGCCGCACAAACGACTTGTGGCGGTCGGGTTTGCGGGCGCGGCACGTGTACCCCACCGAGACACCCTGCTGGGGGTGCTCCGTGAGGCCTGAGGGGCCGAAGTCCACACAGGGGAAGGAGATCTGCCCCAGCGGCCGCACGTCGTCCTCTGCTCGCTCGCTCTCATTCTCCATGCTGCCTCCTGTCCTGCTGTCACTGCCGCTGCCGCTGCTACTGTCGCTGTCGCTGCTTCCTTCCTGCCATTCTCCTTTAGAGTCTGTAGAGCCAGACCCCTTCTTGCTCTTCTTCTTTTTCTTCTCTTTCTCCACCTTCTCTTTCCTCTTCCCCTCCTTGTCCTCCTCCTCCTCCTTCTCTTCCTTTTCCTTCGACTGCTTGTTCTTCTTGGCCTGCTTCCCATCACGTTTTTCGCCTTCCCTCTTCTTGCCCTTCTCGCCCTTCTCTCCGTTTTTGCTCTCCGCCCCTTTGCTCCTATTTTCCAGCTCCCCACCCTCACCCTCACCCTCACCCTCACCCTCACCCTCACCAACAGCAAGCAGTCTCCTACCCACACCTCCCCCCACGCCTCCACTCTCCCTTGCACCTGCCACATCTGCTGCTCCTGCCACACCTCGCACCTCCTCCCCCTCTCTCTCCCTCACACCCCCGCCCATCCGCCTCTCCTCCCCATCCCCTCCACCTCCCCCCTCCCGCCTGCCACCACCCGCCATTCTCCTCCGCCTGCTCCCACCCTTCCCCCCTTCCCCTCCTCCCTTCCCCATCCCCCCCTCCCCACTCACCTTCCGCGCAACCACCTCCTCTATCTCCCTCTCACTCGCCCTCACCACCCTCCTCAGCAGGTGCGGAATAAACACCCCTTTCTCCCTCACCTCGGCCCCCAGGTCCTTCCTTCTCTCAGCGATATGTGCGATGAACTTGGGGGCAACGAACTCATCTACGTCTATGAAGCCCACCCACTCGCACTGCCGCGCTGCCCGCAGCACACAGTGGGAGAACCCCGCCTGCTGCGACTTGATCCACGGCCATGGGTGTAGGGTTACCACTGGGGTGGAGGGCCGAGAGTGACGGGCGGAGGAGGAGGAGGAGCTGGAAGTGGAGGAGATTGAGAAGGGGGAGGAGGAGGCCAGGCTTTGGTTCCGAGTGGAGCCAACAAACCCCGCCCGCACCCACCACTGGGCCCTCTCAACCCCCACCTCCTCTCCTCCAGCCACAGCCGCACCTGCCAGCCCTCCCAACCCTCCTACTCCCCTTCCCCCACTCCGTCCTGCCGCCTCTGCCACCACCGTGGCCGCAGCCTGGCCGGCCGGCGTGCCCATAACCAGCCGAGCGCCGCCGTCCGCCGCCAGGCTGGCGACGACAGCTGTGGTGTTGTCCTCGCTGTTGTTATCATACAGGAAGATTCGATCCACGCCCATCCAGTGGTGGTATACCACCCACTCGCGCAGAAACTTTCCCACGTTGAAAATCATCGTGCACATGCACACAAAGTGTGGTTTCCCCCCATCACTATCACTGCCACCATTCCGGCTCCCATCGTTGCTGTCATGGCCGCTGGATCCTTCGCCTCCCTCTTGCTGACTGTTGGATCCGTGAGGGGCCTCGGGCTGGTCAAACGGGTCAATGGGATCAAAGAGCGCTACAGACGGGAACAGCCGCCCCTCATACTCCACCGTCACTGCCCGCATGGCCAAATCTGCGACCTTCCCTGCTGCACCCACCCCAGTGCCGTCCCTGCTGCTGCTGCCGCTGCTGCTGCTGCTGTTGGCAGTACCACCATCAGCACCGGCATAGGTAGGCAGAGGGCAGAACACCACCTCCATAGCAGCAGCCCGCGCAGGCACTCGCAGCAGCCCCCCCTGCTCCGCCCCCTCACTGCCACTTTCCCCCTCACTGCCACTTCCCCCCTCACTGCCCCTTTCCCCCTCGCCGCCGCTTCCTCCTGCGCCAGCCCCCCCTGTCCCCCCATCCGCCCCAAACACGCACGTCACATTGGCAAGCACAGGCGGCAGGTGCGGGTTGGTCTGTAGGCCCCTCACAAACAGATACACGCCCTCCCTCCCCTCCCTCTCCTCCCTCTCTTCCCCTTCTACTGTATCTACCTTTTCCTCCATCCCATCATAACCTCTCCCCCTCCCCTCCCTCCCCTCCCTCCCCTTCCTCTCCCCCCTCCGCACCGTCACTGCATCGTACACCAGGGGCGGCGGCCTCTTTTTGTGGTTCAGCGCTTGCCACACGACTGAGCCGCCCAGCCGCCCGCCTGCCTTGTCTTCTAGCGTCAGTTGCACACCCTTGGCACCGCTGCTGCTGTCACTGCTCCCGCTGCTGGTGCTGTTACTGCTGCTGCCATTACCTGTGCTTGCAGATACCGTCGCAATCTCCCCTGCGGGCCGAGCGCAGTGCACGTAGATAACACCAGTAATCGACTCTCCCACCTCCCCTCCTCCCATCCCTCCCACATGCCCTTCTCCCATCCCTCTCCTTCCCTCTTCCCTCGCCCCGTTCCCGCCTGCCTTCTCGCCGGCCGCCCCTTGCACCCCCACTCCGGTGTCCCCTCGCTGCTCCTGCGACACTCCTACAGTCGCCAACCGTCGCCTGCTGCTCCCCCCCGTCGCCCTCTCCGCCCTGCGGCTGCTACTGCTGCTGCTGCTGTCGCTGCCACTGCCACTGCTGCTGCTTCTTTCGTCGCCCACGTCGCCCACGTCGCTCAAGTCGCCGACGTCGCCCACAGCGTCGAGCCCATCAGCCGACACCTGTAGCACCCGCGTGCGAGCAGTCAGCGAGCCTTTCCCGAAGCTGCACTGCATCCCCTTTATCCGCTCCAGCTGCTCCTGCGACACTCGAGCCCGGCCGAACCGCGCGTTCCTAAGAATTTCGCTAGAGGCTTCCTCAGAAGATCGATTACCAGCTGCAGCTGCTACGTCAGCGGCCGTGTAACCAGCTGCCACGTCGGATTCGGATTTTGGCGAGTTAGATGGAGCCAGCGGCCGCAGAAGGACGAGGATAAAGTCCGGGAGATCGATTGCCGCGTGCACAACCAAGTTTTTGAAGTCAACCAAGTCAACGGAGTCAACCGCAGAAATGCCGCTACTCCCGACCACCTCGCCCGCCTCATCCTTCTCACTTGTACCTTCCTCTCCGCTCGTTGCGAACGTTTCAACATTTCCGCTCCCCCCGTCGCCTCCGCGCGCGCCATTCAGGCTTCCGAACCCGAACCGGTCCTGCGCTCGCGCGCCGCCCCTCGCGAGCCGCTCCACCTCCATCCACCTCATCTCTCCCGCGTCGCCTGCGACGCCTGCGACGGTCGGCCTCACATCTATGCCTTCACTACCCGCCAATAAGTTATCGCCAAATTTCAGACTTGCGTCGGTTCCTCTCCGCCCGACCAGCGCCAACCACACGAGGAGAATCGCGAGCACAGAGAGAACAAGGGATGCGGAGGACAGGCGCAGCTGTAGCAGTAACGCCACGAGCCGGTAAATCAGACCTTCCCGCTTGCCCCGCGGTTTGTGGTATAACGGTATCGGCGCATCTCCGCCGTTGGATTTGTCGAAACGGGGATCCGGCGTGCCTGACCGAGAAACGGGCTTCGAGTTTTGCTCCGCGGAGTCGCGCCTGCTCATCGCCGCCGGGGATGTCGCGGACGCGCGCTGCGCGATCTCCGCGAGTGCGGAAGACGGAGCGCGCATTGCTGCGGTTACGTCACGCCTAACTCGGCACTAACCCGGATAACTACCCGACCTCCTAAATCGTAGGTTCAATATCCAACGACAAACTAACCTACTCACGCTCCCATCTCTCCCAGTTTACACAGTGTCAGGTCTAGTCAAGTCCGGTATTTTCAGTATTCTTGAGACGTCTCGTAATCCCCAGTGCTTCTAGGTCTCTAGTGATCAGTGCCTCAGTTTCTCGTACCTCGAAGATAGCTCAGTGCACCCAGTTTCAGAACCTGGCTCTTGAATTTGACTGGAAGGCGTTCCCAAGAACCGCGGATTCTCTCGGTCTTTCCCATCCCAACCCAACCAATTTCTCCCGAAAAGCAATCCAATGGGGAGGAGAAGACAGGCGCGGCGCGACGATCGGCGGGAAAAAAAAGGCGGGAAGCTCGGTTGTGCTGTCGGGACCTGTTGTGAGTGACCAAGTGCATGTGCTTATGCGGGGGAGTGTTACGAGTGCAATTGAGTGAACGAACGAGAATTGCACTATCTAAGCAAGAATACAATTGAGCGAAGGCATGAGCGAACATTATATAGCGAAACTATAGTGGTAACGGTAATGGTCGCGCGACGAGCCTGGGACTGAGGTTGGGAAAGTGTCGAAGCGTAGGCCCAGAGCGCGGGTTACCAGCCGAGCCGTGAGGTCGGGATGCGATGTGCGAAAAGGGCGGGATGATGAATGATGCGATGATCGTGAGTGGTAACGGTGCTGACTGAGGTGCTACAGTGATGTACGCGTTGAGCAGGGACGCGAAGTAAGGAAAAGGGGATTTCCTTACACTAACCCCCCTCCTAAGGAGGTCCTCCTTATGAAAGCGCGTGGATGTCTCGGAAATTGCGGCTACGTAGGTAGTCGGTGACGACGGGGTGATTTTCAACTTTCTCCAGGGGAACCCAATTGTCCTCGGTGGGGGTACGATCTTTCCAGCGGATCAAAAACTCTACTTTGCGGGCTCCTCGAGGGTCGCGAACTCTGTGACTCAGGATCTTGTCGGGGGTGATGACTGGTTCGGTTGGTGGTCGTGTCATGCTGGTGGGTCGATGTCGTGGGAGTTGGCTGGTGGATGGCACGTAAGGGCGAAGTAAGCTAACGTGGAACGAGGGGCTGACGTACCAGTCAGCAGGGAGGAGGAGGTGCGCGGTGACTGGCGTAACCATGTGACTGATTCGAAATGGCCCACAGTATCGAGGGCGGAGTTTTGGAGTGATGGGCAGGCGGAGGTTCTGAGTGTCGAGTAAAACGAGGTCGTCGGGCTGATAAGTAATGGGTATGCGATGGCGATCGGCGTTGCGTTTAGCGATGATGTTTGATTTTTTGATTGCTTCTGCTGCCCTGGTCCGTGCTGCTTGCAGAATCTCGGCGAACTGTTGTGCTCGTGGGACGGGGTTGTCGGGATTCGGTGTCATGGGTACTGTTGGGTCCTGTCCGTAATTCAAGTAAAACAGCGACTGTTGCGTCGTGGCTGATGGTGCGTTATTGTATGCGAACTCGATGAGTGGCAGCTGCTGTTCCCACGAATTCGGATCGTCGCACGTGGCTCGAATCAGCTGCTCCATGGTCTGATTTGTCCGTTCCGTCTGTCTGTCGGTTTCGGGGTGATAGGATGAACTGAACTGTAAGCGCGTGCCGAACTGCTGCCACAGGTTCCGCCAGAAGTTGCTTGTAAATTTCGTGTCCCTTTCGCTGATGATCGATGCGGGTATCCCGTGCAGTCGAACGACGGTGGTGATGAAGAGTCGGGCGGTTTCCTCGGCTGTGATTGATTTCCTGCATGCTGCGAAATGAGCCATCTTCGTTAGTCGATCGACGACGACCAGGATCGCGTCATTCCCACTCGCCCCAGCTGGTAACCCCGTGACGAAATCCATCGTCACCTGCTGCCAAGCACGCTCTGGGGGCGGGATGGGTTGTAATTGTCCCGCCGACCGCTTCCTGCTTGACTTCATGAGCTGGCAAGTGGGGCACGATGCCACGTGTCGTTGCACATCGGTCAACATTTCTGGCCAGTAGTAGTACCGCTGCAGCTGCTGCCGTGTTTTTTCTACCCCGAAATGTCCCGAGGTAACTCCGTCGTGTGCTTCCTGTAACAGTAGTTCCCGCAGTAGCGTGTATCCTGGTACCCAGATGCGGTCGGTTCCAGCTTTTACGTAATAGACTCCTTGTGCCGCTGCGAATTGCTGTGAGTTGCCTCCTGTAAAGAACGGGTCTGTTTGATATACGTGGGTAAATAGGCCTGTCAGTAGCGGGCTGGTCTGGGCGAGTAGTATCGCGTGGATCTGGGCAGTGGGGCGGGTCAGTGCGTCGGCGATATTCGAGGCTCCTTTTTTGTATGTGACCGTATAGTGAAAATTCGACTCGAGGAAATCGAGCCATCGAATCTGTCGTGGGTTGAGGTGGGGCTGTGCGCGGAGGTACTGTAGAGATCGATGGTCTGTCCGTACTGTCACGTCTGCGCCGGTCAAGTAGCAGCGCCATACTTTGAATGCGTGCGCGATCGCAAGCATTTCGCGGTCGTGTATCGGGTAATTTCGCTCAGGCGGATGTAGTTTGCGTGATTCGTAGGCGATGGGTTGGAGGCCGTCGCCGAAGTCCTGTAACAGTACAGCTCCGATGGCGATGTCACTTGCGTCGGTAACCACTTCGAAAGGGCGGTGGGGATCAGCGATGCGTAGAACGGGTGGTGAACAGAGAACGTTTTTCAGGGCAGAGAAGGCAGCATGCTCTTTCTCCCCCCACGTAAAAGCGACCCCCTTACGCAGTAAATCAGTGAGTGGGGCTGTTAAACGTGCCATGTCGGGCACGAACCGTCGAACGTAATTAACAAAACCTAAAAAACTCTGCAGTTCCGTGATGTTCGTCGGGGGGCGCCACGCTTTTACCGTATCCAGCTTCTTTGGGTCAATCTCAACCCCAGCCTCCGAAATGACGTGACCCAAAAACTCTAGTCTGTCCCGAAAAAACTCGCACTTGGAGCCCTTGGTGAGTAGCCGATGTTCCTCCAAAACCTTAAAAATTGCTTCAAGATCCACTAAGTGTTGCTGCTTATCCCGGCTGTAAACTAGAATATCGTCCAGGTAAACTATCACGCATTTATCTAAAAGTGGTCTAAACGCCTCGTTCATGGTCATCTGAAATGTCGCAGGCGCGTTCGTCAGCCCGAATGGCATTACTCTATACTCGAATGACCCGTACCTAGTCCTAAATGCTGTTTTGGCGCAGTCTGATGGTTCGACCCGAATCTGATGGTAACCTCCCCGTAAATCTTGTGAAACTAACTGAACAGGAATGAATTGACTAAGTCAGAGTTGGGTACAAATACAACCCTAGCAAACTGTACCCCATATGTGCTACCCCACTATAGCCTACAAACATGCATCAGCTATAATAATCTGACACACCCCCATAGGCAAAGTGGGGGAGAACAAGGGGTCACAAGACCAGTCAAACAAAGCAAAGCAAAGCAAGCTCAGGGTGGATCACAAAGTCACCACACAGTCCGAGCACAAGAGCAGGGCAAGAGGCCAGTTCACATGCAGGAGTACAGACATATATATAAAACTAGACAAGCAGGAGCAGGTATATATATGACAAAGTACAAGTAAAGTCAAGAAGAGAGCAAGTGAGGCAAGACAGGTACAAGACCCAGCTGGGTACAAAAGCGCTGATGGTCACAAGGCGCAAGTGCCTTGGTGAACACATCAGCAGTGTTGGCCTCAGAGGCCACGTAAGCAAGTCGCAACTGACCACGCTGCTGCAGCTCACGAGCAAGGAAGTAGCGGAGAGCAATGTGCTTCGTTCTGTGCTCCAAGCGCTGCTCTCGACACAAGGCCAGCATGGCCTTGTTGTCTACGTACAGCACTGGAGGAGAACGAGGCGGCTCTCCAAGGTCGGTCAGCAGGTAGGTGAGCCAGCGAAGCTCCTGTGCAGCCATGGCCCCGGCGTAGATCTCAGCCTCACAACTGGAGCCGAGAACCGAAGACGAGCGAGTAGACCGCCACGAGACAGAACCGGAACCAAGGCTGAAGGTGTAACCCTGTGACGACCGCTGCGTAGCCTGGTCGTCAGCCCAAGAAGCGTCCGCGTGGCCGGTAAGGACCACTGGACTCCGCCCTCCAAGCACTAGCCCCATGCCCGACGTACTGCACAGGTAGCGCAATACCCTCTTCGCTGCAGCCATGTGCTCCGGTCTGTGTCTCCCAGGAGCAACATAGCGTGCAAGAATGCTCAGAGGGTATGCAAGGTCAGGTCGTGTGCAGGTCATCAGGTACATGAGGCAGCCAACAAGCTCTGCATATGGACCACTCGACTCTACGGACTCATCCGAAGGCAGAGCTGAGAGTGAGTGGCGAGTAGGCAGAGGAGTGGCCTGAGGCGAGGAGTACGTGAAGCCGAAGCGCTGAAGGACCTGCTGCACCATGTGTGACTGAGTCAGGGTAATGGTGCGGTGTGCTCTGTCCCGAGTGATCTGCAAGCCAAGGTAGCTGCGCAGTTCACCCAGGTCTGTGCACGTGTGTCTCTTCAGCAGCTCGGACTTCACGTAGGCGAGTCCAGCAGTGTCCGCTGTGGCAAAGACCAAGTCGTCGACGTACACGAGGATGTAGAACGGCGGCAGGGAAGTGTCGGTGCGAAGAAACAGCGACGGGTCAGCAGTAGAAGGAGCAAACCCAAGAGCCGCAAGCGTAGTCCTCAGTGTGTCGTGCCACTCACGCGGTGCCTGGCGGAGACCGTAGACTGGCCGTCGGAGGCTCCACTGGGTGCCAGGAGGGAAAGTCCCAGTGAAGCCAGGCGGACGGCGCAGCCAGATCTCCTCGTGCAGGCTACCCTGCAGGAACGCAGTGCTGAAGTCGAGGGAGTGAAGCTCGTAGTCGCGCTGAGCGGCAATGTGCAGCAGCACCCGAAGAGTGGTCATCTTCGGGGTGGGAGAGAAGGTCTGAAAGTAGTCAACTCCCTGCCGCTGACTGAAGCCACGAGC